AATTTCGCAGTTTTTGTCAAAAATTTGTGTTGAAGACGTAATTACTTTTAAATTTTAATTGTTATTGTTATTCGTATCAGTCAGTCTCCTATCTTGTTTTGCTCTCCCCTTTAGTGTATCCATTATCGGTCTTATACCTCGGCTGCTTTCAATTTGGTCTCTTCGGAGATGGATTACTCTTTCGATATTGATGCTTTCCGTCGCTATAGAATATATCAACTGGAACCTGAAACGTACTTATTTGTTATTCGTTTGTTGTCATGATATTATAGGGAATGTTCATAGCACTGATTAATTCTATGAACTCTACAATCTATTCTTTTCATAAGTACGAAGCTGTGATTTCTCATTGTCAGTAAGTTTATCATTAGGATTAAGTGCATTGACTCGTGAAATGAACCAATATTTTATCAGATGAATATCATAGAAGTGTCTAGATCAGTACTAAGATAATTATCTATATCAGTGGAATGTTCAATGTTCCTGTTGAAGAGTTTATATCAGTTTTTGTTGATATGTCTGTCTGTTGAGATTGTATTACTCGATTCGATTAATATGATGGAAGATTTGTTATTTATGCAGTAAAAATATGAATGAATATTTTTAATATGCAATGAAAGTACTACGTTTATTAATTCAGGGCAGTGATTTGTTTAGTGAGGGTTTAGATTGGTCCTTTGACGGCATTTTATTGTTATGGTGTCATTGACTTATGAAAGTAAGTGGATAAGGGTATATTGACGAGTTATGTTCGCGTTTATGATGTAAGAATGTTCGGTGATGACTGATAGATTATATATCGCTCATAGGGAAAGGTAATGATGGGCAGGCAGATCTTTTGAGATATAGATAGATTTAAATTGACATCTAAGACATCCAACTATACGAAAATTGAGATTATCACTGGTCTTTATACGGTTCGTATTTATTCTCTGATATAATCGGATATATTCTGTCTGATATAACTTTGACATCACTCCATGACTTAAAGAGATGCGATCATGAATCGTAAATTACAATTCGACAATGTATTCGAATCTTTTTGATTTTTTTTTTGGAATTCGATTGAATATTTTGCAAGGACTTGATTGATCTCTTTGCAGAAATGACTATGATTACCGGTTGGCAATGTTTATTTACACAGAAACGATTTTCGATTTTGTATCATTTTTTCGATTTTGTGTTTCATTTGCCTCGTTTGGTAGTGTTAGTAGAGGCAATAATAGTGGGCATTTGCACGACGGCATTACGTTTTCAAGTGCAAAATAATAAATTTGTCATATTATTATTCTGTGGTCGATTGAGGTAAAATTACGATAATTTTCTGACATTGATGATGGTTTTTACTTTATTTCATTGCATTTTTTTGGAGAAACGTGCTCTGCATTTATGGTATTTGTTGGTTTACCTCAATCAAATCAAAATGTCGCAATCTTTTTCTCCATTGACATTTGTAGACGTATTCATCTTATTCGTTTATATTGCTTGTTTAATTCTATCATTCTCATGTCTTATTTCATTGCAAATTTCCCCTACAATTAAATTTTTATTTATTTATACTAACGATCAAAGCAAACGATCCATCTCGTCAATGGTCGTTGGCTAAAATGTCAGTGCTATTTGTTGGAATTGGTTAAGCAAACATCACAATGTCAAACGTTTTGTCAACAAATCTCTTGTAGGACTGAAGCTTATTTGTGGACAACGGCTAAATTCATTTAGGTTCGTCTCTAAGAGTAGATATTAACTTATTGATTGTATATTATGCTAATGCACCTGGCATGTAAGATATACATTACATGGGACACTTTGAATTCTAGGGCTCGAAAAGGTAAACGGTCATATTGTCTTGAAACAGAGTGATATCTTCCTGGTAAGTAGGTTTAGATTTCCAGTGCCTATTTTCATAATATCAATAATAGTAAGTCTTTGAATAATTCCAAATTACTTTATCTTATTGCTAGTTGATTTTAAGTTTAACCTTATTATTGTTATTATCTTGTATGCTAACATTGTGCATACGCCCGTCTAACCGATCGAATCTGCATCGTCTGTGAATCTTTAGGTTCTTAAAATCCATCTTAACAATATAAAGTCTTGAGAATCTGTTTTGCTTTCTATGTTCTGTGAACAGCTTTATGCAAATATGCATTCACTACTCGTGTTAGCCCAATTGTAATGAATACATTCCCTACTATTTGCTTATGCTGATTGCCGCCCCGTATTCTGCTGCATTCAGCTTTACTCTGATTCATTTGTTAGTAAGTTCATATTTCAATATTCCAACTATGTATACATACTTCTTTAGAAACGATTAAATCCAATATGAGACTTGTATTATTTAGATCTGTGCCTCCTGCATCGTTACAAATAATATTATTGCACTTACCATTAATTTTATTGTTATTTGTTGACTGTTGCTTTAGCTCTATTGAGTTTTTGATTGTAATGTGAAGTTGTTGCCATTAATGTGAAGTTTTTATTTTTACGATGCTATAACACTTTTTATTCAGAGTGCACAGTTGAGAATTTACGCGAATACCTTTTCTGAATTTAGTTGTATTGTTGGAACTTATGAGGTAAATGACTGCCGGCCGTTCCATTGGTATTGCTTATAAGTTTTGAGGTGCAACTCTACGATGCGATCGTTTACGCTCTTGTTTTCGTTTACGCTCCTATCGCCTAGTGTGTAGTAAATGTACCCGAATTTTCCAGCTGTTAACATTCAAATGTTTTCACAATTTTCATGGAGAACTCGTAAGATTTCAGGTTAAAATTTAGACTGAATAGACAATTTTGAATAGATTGAAGTTGTTTTGAAGAAGAATCGAAAGGTTCTCTAAAGATTTGTGTTAGATTCCAAAAAAAAAATGTTGGCTGTTGATCATTATCGCAATTGTTATCACGTACTTAGTGATGAGTGGGCTGTCATAAAAAGTGGAATGTTGAAGGTGTGAACGAAAGAAAATCTGTTCGTTTGTTTGTGTGGGTTAATCTGAGAAATGGATGAAAAAATGAATATACTCGCAAATGGCTGCGATCAGAACCGAACTTATCAGCGATCAACACCCGCAACACGTCGACGTCGTTCGGTGAAATTCGCTGATGCACCATCTGCTGATGAGATGCTGCGATTATCGTCATCTTGTCATAATATTGATGCCAGCAATGGCTCCACTAACGATAATGCTCATTCTAACAATAATATTCTGTCTGCAAACAACAAATCGTTGCTGAATACGACTAAATTCAAACGACCCACCTACTCGTGCCCATCAACCGATGTGAATAATCTGAATTTGATGATGATGATGAGTCGTTCGCATGCGATCACACTGCGTTCACGGAGTGCAAATAGTGATCCGAACAAACTTGTAATATCTTATCAGCGTAAAAAAGCTACTGGAAACANGCGAATGAACACCAGTGAAACTAAATCATTCGCAGACTCTGCGAAACTATTGAGTCAGAGTGATTATAATAAATATTATTGCGATGGTGCTGATAATAATAATAATATTAACGGTGATTATGTGCGCACTGGAATTATCGCTAAAAATTCCAAGGATATAAACAATTTGCTGATGACCTGTGATAGTGGGTATGGTGGGGATCAGGAAGAGGGTGGCCATACGATGGGCCAAGCAATGAGTGTTAGGTATAAAAATGGACTTAATCAGATGATGACAGCTTATCACACTAGACTAAACCGTGCAACGAGACAACTGAACGATTGTAGAGATGTAGAAGGTAATGATAATTACACGAACAATACGGCGAATAGTAATGCTGATAGCCAAAACAGTAGCAGTGATAATGGAGAGAATAATTGTCAAAGTAGTGGTACTACGGATAAGAAGAGGGAAGATTATCAGTGTGATGACTGCAACAGCAGCAGCATTTCTGAGTTAAAACATCGAATAGCGTATGAATTTTTGAATGATTTAGAAATGGCCAAACATGTCAAAGAATGTGTTCGGCAGTTCAATACCGGGCTGGATATGGTGTTGCAAGGAAGGCAAATGGTTCGTTCATTTCATGTTTTTTTGTGTGATAGTAATTGATTTTCGGTTGTTTTGCTCTTTTTTTTTTCAACTTTTCAAGCGCTTCAACTCATTTCCTTTCTGAGCATTCGATCCGTTCGTAATGTTTCTATTGAGCAATGAATGACAGACAACAGTCAATTTTCAGGTGGAATCCTCACAGCTGCCAATAGAAGACAAAGAGCAGCTGTTGAAATACTTGAATCAGCATGTTACGAAGGCGAGGAAACGGCTGGAAATCACTGATGATCGTTATGAACCGGACGGAGGGCGCAGTGACAGTCCGAACAGCATATCAAGCCAAAGACCAAAGTNCTTATCTCCTCGACTCTTTTCATATAGCGCGGTTGGAACGATATTAACGTGTATGGAATTTTGATTGTGATTTTTGTAGACCGATCCGGTGTTGAGCTGGGTGTTGTTTTGAATTTGCACACAGTGGTTTTTGCATGCGATGTGTGGTGAAGGTAGCTCTCCCCTGGTTTTTGATTTGAGTGCATTTCTCATTAATATTTCGCTTTTTCGAGTTCGAGCTTTCGCAACAGAAACAGACAGAAAGTATTGAAGTTATTGCGCGAAGGCCATGTGATTATTTTTGTATATATTTGTGAGTTGTCTTCAAAAATTGATTTTGCTATTTTGTTCGGAAACTGATTGTTAAAAGTTTTAAAATTTCAGTCCGCTGATAGCTCGATCACCGAGTGGTGAGTCGCCACAGCAACATCACCAGCTATCAACAAATCCTCAACTGACAACCTCAGCCAACAACGGCACCGATGTCGATCTGAATTCGTTTCTGCAGCAGCATCGTCATCAGCTGGTAGCATTACTGGAGAAGAACAATATGGCCAAACAAAACTGATTGATACACATTTATACATAACTATATGTATATATGTTCAAATCGAATAGAATCCACTTTCATATCATATGATTTGATTGTATTCTTTATTATTATTATTATTCATTTCAGTGACGCGGGCTGTTCTGTATGCCTCTTTCTTTGAGTTTATTCTTCGATTGATGTTTTAGTTCGCCATGTTCAGATCATGAGTTCAAGACATTTGACATTATTATGAGTAGTAATACTATGTGATAATATTCAGTGTTTTATCGTCCAATATTGTTTATAATAGTTCTTCACATGCATGCATCTCTTATGATAATAGCATATGTTTTAGTTTTACTTGATGTGTTCAGATTCAATATTGATATACCTGTATGCATACCTATATGTGTTTCATTTTATTATTGATATGTTCTCTTGCAATTGAAAATTTTATTGTTTGAATGCTCTGATTTTGGAACGTTTTATCCAGTTTAAAGTTTTATATTTATGTTTTTGTACGTTATAAGTTTTATATTAATTTATTCATTGGTTTAATCCATTGATGAGAGTGATTTTGATGAAGATGATGCGAACATAAATGTGTGCCTTCAGTTGACGACGTCTAAATTTGTTGATTTTTGAACATTTCTAAGCAAAAAGATACTCCCCAAATTTGCAGTCGTGTCCTTACACAGAATTCGTTTATTTCATCATTCTTCGTTCAGTTTGTATTTCATTTATTAGCCTTACTTCATATCTGGCCAATTTTCCCGGAGTTCTCAGTTTTTAAAAGAAAACATGAAAAGGTCGGGGATTTTTCGCTTGCTGATAAAGTGAAATTTTCTGTTAATGACAATCGAGTTCGTCTCTGTTAACAGTTGATACAACATACTTCTGTATTCTTGGGCAAATATATGTGATCTTTCAGTAAAATTCTATGAATTTTTGCTTACTTGTGGTCACGCACCTGCTTAGAATTATTGTTGTGGTTTTAAAAAAATTGTCCTTTTGAAAGCTCCAGTTTAGAAACAAGGCTCAGTTTTGAAGATTGATCGATCAATCGCTGAATTGATCAATTGATTGGGTTGATTGGTCAAGCAACATTCTGATAAGATGTTAAGCATTCAAATGAAATACTCGCTACAAAGTAAGGCTGATAAAGATATGCCTGGTAC